AAACTTTGACCCTGGTTTTATTCCTAAATATTGGAACACTCTGTCCCTGTTTTTAATCCTAAATTTTGGAACACTCTATCTCCCGGTTTTCTACTTGAATTTTGACCTGGAAAGAGTGGGATGCAGGAAACCTGGATTAATTATTATACCAACCAACCTTCCTTAAAGAAAACTCTTTACCTAAATATATTCTTCTTTTCTTAGATGTTGCTAAAACATTTCTCTTTACGGGAGGAAACAATTTTTTATTTTCAGGAGTAATTAAAGATTTTTGGATCTCAAGCTTTTTATTTATCGTAAAAACCTATAGGATCAGACTTGACTTTTTCATAGAAAGCTAGGTTCAGTTGTTTCTTCAAACTACATCTTTTTTGTGCGTAAGACTAAGAGTTTAATAAAAATGAACCTGGGATATGATATGTAGGAAAAATGAAAATAATTAGATGTAATAAAAGAGAGATGGATTTTAGAGTGGTGGATTCGCGAGATAATTAAATCGAAGAGAAACTTATTAACTAGATAAAGATTCAAGAGCGAGGTGAAGATTATTTTATTAGAAATAAATAAAACAGAGGTCATTTTATTAGAATTGAATTAGAAGTTTGAGATGTGGATTGAAAAGAGATTATTTTATCAGAAATGGATTTGAGATACAAATGTTGATTGAAGCAAGATTATTTTATTAGAAAAGGATTTGAGATGAAGATGTGGATTAAAGAGAGATTATTTTACTATAAATGGGTTTGAGATACAGATGTGGATTGTGGATTAAAGAGAGATTATTTGATAAGAAATGGATTTGAGATGAAGATGTGGATTAAAGAGAGATTATTTTACTATAAATGGGTTTGAGATACAGATGTGGATTGTGGATTGAAGAGAGATTATTTGATTAGAAATGGATTTGAGATATAGATGTGGATTAAAGAAAGATTATTTTATTATAAATGGATTTGAGATAAAGATGTGGATTGTGGATTAAAGAGAGATTATTTGATTAGAAATGGATTTGAGATATAGATGTGGATTAAATAGAGATTATTTTATTAGAAATGGATTTGAAATACAGATGTGGATTAAAGAGAGATTATTTTATTAGAAATGGATTTGAAATACAGATGTGGATTAAATAGAGAGTCGATTATAATTATAGCAGTTTTCGAGAGATGTTAATTGAAAAGAGATTAATTAATAAGAAATGGAGTTGAGATCGAATAATTAGGTAGAATTGGATTGAAAAGACATAAATTGATAAGAAGTGAATAGAGTCTATGATGTATTAATGAAATGAAAAGTAAAAAGAGAGATTTTTTTTTACCAAACATTAGTAATGTAGAAATAAGTATTGATTAGAGATTATTTACTAATCTGATTAAAAAAGGAGGATTGAAAAGAGATGAGTTACAGAGGCATGCACAGAGGGGTGGGTAGCCCCCCCCCCCAGCCCCTCTCCTGGGATCATTAAAATAATTGTATTCCAGTGGGATGATAAGCCCCAACGAGTCCCAATGTAAAGAAAATAACAAATTCCTGCATACGTCCCTTATTAATATCCAACCAGAAGTAATGAATATTAAGAAGGATTAAAGAGAGATTATTCACCAATTTGTAATAATTAAGAAAAAGAAGGGTTGAAAAGAGATTACGTAACCAACTTGCATCTATATATATAAAGTAGCTAGTAATCTCTGTTTGGTTTGCAGGTAAAGCTGGGTGTCAGAGCTATGAGGATTGAAAAGAGATTAAATTTTCCAACCTGTATTATATGAAGAAAGAAGGATTAAAGAGAGATTATTTACCAACCTGTAATAATGAAGAAAGAAGGATGAGATAAAGAAAGACTATTTACCAAATCCAGTATTTTGAGAAAAGAGATTGTTTACCAATTGTCTCCTTCCATCCCATTCCTACCCGACCTTCCAGGGGCGTGACTAGCACTTTTACAAGGGGGGGGGGGTAACAGGGAGGCTAGCCCCCCCCCCGTATAAATAAATTTTAAGGTTTAAGTCGAAAATAAACCGAATTTTTCAGTTGTTGCATGCACAAATTTGGCTCAGTGTTCAATGGAAATCGATTTGTTTTTATATCCTACGGCTTGTTCTTCAGTGATTTTTTACTTCCAACAGCTTTAAAATAAACGATATGAATCAATTCTTTGAACGTGTGCGCGAAGCGCAAAAGAAAAATTCTGTTCTTCTAATTGTTACTTATTTTCCCCATTTTAAAGTAAATCTTTATATCTGTTTCTTAGCGATCAATTAGTCCCTGGGTAAATCTATTCACAATGTGTGTATTAAGTCCCCTATTTTAGCTAGTCTACTGCATTTTTTTTTGATAGAGGATAAATAAAGTGTGACTGACTTTCTTCAGCCTGTCCTAGCCGCGGCTCTCGACCCACTAGCATGTTCTGGCCGCAGCCCAGAAATTGTCCTTTAACCTAATCTACCCTCAATCAATAAGATTACATCATTTGATTTTTTGTGTAAAAGTAAGCCTAAAACTTGCTGGGACGTTATTTAAAAAAAAATTAAAATATTTGTTTGATTGAACAAATATTTGTTCAAATTAGTCCAAATGAACATTAGTCCAAACTAACGTTATAATCAAATCGATTATTCCAATTGATATATGACACCATTTTATCCTTATTATTAATATTCGCCATTCTTTCTCTAAAAAGGGGGGGGGGGCGCTCTCCTTCTAAGTTTCAGTGCAGCTCCCCCTCTATAGTTGCGCCTCTGCGACCTTCCTTCTTCTCTTTTCTTTTTATAATTAGCTCCCTAGGGTTACTTCTATCCTCCTCATTTCCCTTTGTTTCCCTCGATTACATTTACAAAGTTTACGCATAGAACAGAGATTATAATAGAAAGGAATTTAAACAATCCCTCGGTATGAATTTTATCAGTCCCTTTGAACCTGAATAGGAGTTCAAAGTGTTACGATTCATGTAAATGTTCGGCATCGCACAAATATGTAATGAGAGGTAAAAATGCATCAAAGATCATCCGAAATCTAAGAAAATTCAAGAATGATGTTCTCTCTATGAAGACTCGAGCAGGAGCTGGAGGCAGATCTACGTTCTCCGTAGCTACTCCTCCCTTCCCACCGATTATTGCAGTTCTCCTGTATGAAGAAAGAATTCTTCAAGACAACAGGTTCGAAACTCTCAGTACACTGACCAGCATGATCAGAGAACTTAACCGCGGCGATCCTAGGCTTAAATCCTTCAAGGCTCCCACTTTTCACACCTGGGGACTCAAAACTAAGAAACTAGATCCTTCCTTCTATGGGCCCCGAAACCTGATGGAAATATGTACCAAGTACAGAGATCCACAATGGAGAGAGAAGATCTACACCGAGATGGTTCACCTCAACGACAGCTCCAGATTGAGGATGGGTAAGGCGGTGCTGATGTTTTTCAAGGTTCTATACGGAATAGTCGAATCAAAAGATATTCCGAAAGTTCTAGCTCTAGTGATCGAAAAGAAGGAAACAGAAAGCAGGAAGAGGAAGCACTATGACAGATAGATGAAAGCTCTAGAAACCAACAATCAATGATCTCCAGAACGAAAATGTGATATTGGTAAACTATCCTCTTCTATTTCTTAAATTGAATTTCGAGTTTAGCAAAAGCTCAAGTTAATCAAAATTTATCGGAATTCTTCCGCCATTTAAGCCTCCAATTAAAATGAATTTCGAGTTTTTCAGAATTTTGAGTTTACCATAAGTTATCAGAATTTGTCCGTAATTTAAACTTCCAATTCTGTTTCTTAAATTGAATTTCGGGTTTATCAGAATCAGTTTTTCAGAATTTTAAGTTTATCAAAATTTATCAGAATTTGTCCGTCATTTAAGCTTCCAATTCTGTTTCTTAAATTGAATTTCGAGTTTATCAGAACTTATCAGGTTCTAATAATTTTAATCCTTAAAAAGAAACAATGGTGCAAAGCTATTGGATCTACAATAACCGCTCTCTCCACAGTCGTTTTATTTTTATGGTGCAAAGCTATAACTCTATGTTGATGATGCAAAACTATAATTTTGTCTTTCAAATATTTTTAACTCTTAAAAAGAAACAATGGTGCAAAGCTGTTGGTTCTTCAATCGCGCAAATCTTGCCCCCCCCTAGATTTATTTCTGTATACGCCCTTGCTCTCTCCACAGTCGTTTTATTTTTATGGTGCAAAACTATAACTCTATGTTGATGATGCAAAACTATAATTTTGTCTTTCAAATATTTTTAACTCTTAAAAAGAAACAATATGGTGCAAAGCTGTTGGTTCTTCAATAACATCTCTCTCCGCAATTGTCTCTATCCGTCTCAAAGAATGTTGCCTTTTAATATTATGCTTACCTGAAGCTTCCTTTATGATTTTGCCAGTTCTTAAATTGCTGCTTCTTAAATTGCTGCTATTTTGGCACCGGTATTTTACTTTATTAATCTTTGCCGATATAGTTTTTTTTTTGTTTTCGTCTACATATTTATTAAAATCAAAAAAATCAAAATTTACATATCGTTGATATATATAAAGTTTATTGTTATTTGTTCCTGTACTTTTTGATCAATAAATAGATTTGAATAATAATAATATAGCACAAATATGTGATGTACACCTTTTGGGTTAATTCCTCTCTATACTAATATTCTCCGAGTATCTACCTACACAGTTCACGCAGTTCAACAATATAAAGTTGTAAATTCTATACTATAATAGAGTACATAGCTTAACTTTACAAGTGAAGATATAACACACATCGAGTTGGCTTTTTTATTCAATTTTATTCTTGCATATGGTTTTTGTTTGACACTCGGTAAAGTGTAAAATGGCCAGTGGGAAAATTATATTTGAATAAGCTAACGCCTTTATAATTTCTAGACAGTTTGCGTTTACCCAATATTTCCCCAATATGTGTGTTTGTCCAGCTAGCGTGTACTCTATGACCCGGCCTGGTAACAATACCGTCTTGCAAGTAGCTGTGTAGAGTGAGTAGAGAATACAAAAGGGGGGCCTGGCCCGACTTTCCTTTCTAGCATCTTGATTTCATACTTTCAACCTCAAACAACTCTCCTTAACAGTCTGCAGTCTATAGTCTAACGAGTATAGTTGTCCGTGAAAAACCTGAATTATAAGTTTTATATAAACACGTCCTGACTCCTGGACAAAACACAGAGAAACAGTATCATGTAAATTTCAGCTGAAGTTCATTAATATATAAACTGTAACGTTAACCACAGTGACCCTCAGTCTAAAAATAACATATAATGATTCAAGTTTAAAACGTAGAAAAGGAAATCTCACGAAATTCCGCTGATTGATTTCTCCTCTTCCCAACTCTAAACTCTTAAATATATTTGTATTGTCAGCTGTAGAGAAGAATGATGCAAGTATGTCGGAGTCTGCAGGTTAACCAACCTGCAGGGTTCAAGTTCTCCAGGTTCTATCAGACCAAGACTAGTTCTGTGTACGGATATAATCCTAAGAAATGGGAGAATCTTGCTCCGGAAACGTCCGAAGAACTTCGGAACATCCGAAACCAGCAACCCAACCTATACAGGTTAGTACAGGGTTACCCAGAAAGGATGATACTTTTTAAACGACCTAAAACTCTTTAAATTTTACCGACCTGAAGATTTGATTTTTTTTACCCTTAAAATGAAGGTTCAACTATTAAATTATCTATAAAAAAGGAGAAGGAATATGTATTAGGTTCCCTACCTTAACTGCAAACAGAGGCGTATTCGGGGGGGGGTGGCTATTGGGGCTAAGCCCCCCCCCCCGGACCAGTAAAATCTATTGATTTCAGGGTGTTTTCATGCCCCAACGGGTGCTGAGCGCCCCCTGGAAACAAAAAAAATTTAAGCCCCCCCCCCTGGACAAATGTCTAAATACCTGACTGCAAAGTCTTCTTTATAGTTTCATCCTTTGTGGTAAACTCTGTATATTCAAAAGAGAGTTTCAGGGGCCTACAAAATTGATCATATCCATCCTCTCTTTATGTGTGCATTTTTTAAAACATTTATTTCTCTCCCCCACCCCGCCTCGCCTCTTTAAAAATAATTTTTTTGCTCTGCATATGTTATGCATAACTTACAAGGTTTTTATTCGTTAAATTGGGTTTAATGGATACTTTTTTTTTGGGGGGGGGGGTATATAGAGATTTTCTTAAAAGAAAAGGTTCTTGTCCTATACCTATAGATACAGTATACACTGCGTGTTACTGTTTAATCCAATCTTCATTTTAATTAGTTTTTTTTTCTGACTCAATCCTATTTAGGCTGATATCAGCTTTTCGTCAGAACGGGTACAAGTACGCTACTCTTAACCCTGTTCCCCTAGGAGGGGTTCTGCCTGTACATGGTGAAGAACTTCATCCGTCCTACTACAGTATGGATCCTGCAGACAGAGTAAACCCAGCTGGTTTAATATCTCAACCTGGAGATAGTACAACGGTATCAGAGCTGGCCAATGTACTATCCACCCTGTACTGCGGTTCTACAGGTATTGAGTGTGAGTACATAGAAAATTCAGCGGAGAAAGAATGGTTGTACAATATGTACGAGGAGATCAAACAAACTGAGTTGAGTGGAGGAGAGAAAAAGAAAATTGCAGCAGAGATGCTTAAATCCCAAAACTATGATAACTTCTTGGCAACCAAGTTTCCCAATGTCAAGAGGTATGGCGGAGAGGGGGCGGAAGCTATGATGGGATTCTACACTGAGCTTTTCAGAAAGGCGGAGGTGGACGGAATCAAGGATATTATAATGGGGAATGCGCACAGAGGAAAATTAAACTTTCTGACTGGATTGATGAATTATCCTCCAGTAGCAATGTTTAGGAAGATGAGAGGGATGTCGGAGTTTCCTCCTGAACAGCAGGGAGCTGGAGATGTTATCTCTCATCTCTCTGCCAGTCTTGATATAGGTTCCGTACATGTTACGATGCTCCCCAACCCATCCCACCTAGAGGCAGTAAACCCTGTTGCAGTTGGTAAAGCTCGGTGTAAACATCTTGTGAAGGGCAAGGGAGAGTATGGAGAAGGTATGATGGGAGATGATGTCCTATGTGTTCAGGTTCATGGAGACGCTGCACTGGCAGGTCAAGGGATAAACCAGGAAACTCTGCAGATGGCGAATGTTCCTCATTTCTCAGTCGGAGGATCTCTTCATTTAGTTGTTAACAATCAAGTCGGGTTTACAACTCCGGGAGATAGAGGTCGATCCTCTAGACACTGTACTGACCTCGCTAAACAGATTGGAGCTCCTGTTCTCCATGTTAACGGTGATTACCCTGAAGAGGTTGTCAAGGCTACCAGGGTTGCTGTAGAGTATAGAAACAAGTTCAGGAAGGATGTTTTTGTAAACCTGATTTGCTTCAGAAGATGGGGGCATAATGAGTTGGATGATCCAACCTTTACAAACCCTGCTCTCTACTCTGTTATCCATGCAAGACGAAGCGTCCCGGATGAATATGCTGAAAAACTTATTTCTGAGGGGGTTATGAGTACAGCAGAACACAAAGAGATTATTGCTAAGCACACTGGAGTTTTGAATGAAAACTATGACCAAATAGAAACCTATTCCCCCCAGAGAACCAACCTGAAACACAACTGGTCAGGTATTTCAGAAGCTTCTGGAAATCTTACCCAATGGGATACTGGGATCGATTCCCTTATTCTAAAATTTGTCGGGAAACAATCCGTCCAAGTCCCGGAGAGTTTCTCCGTCCATCCCCACCTTCTCAAACATCATATTGAAGGACGGCTACGCAAGGTTGAGAGCGGAACAAACATTGACTGGGGAACTGCAGAAGCACTAGCTCTAGGTTCCCTTCTCTATCAAGGGTTTAATGTTAGGATTAGTGGACAGGATGTGGGAAGAGCAACATTTTCACACAGACACGCCATGCTAGTGGATCAGAATACTAATGAAATATATATTCCACTTAATGAAATGTTTCCAGAGCAGAAAGGAAAATTAGAAATAGCAAATAGTATTCTCTCGGAGGAGGCAGTGATGGGGTTTGAATATGGAATGTCGATGGAAAGTCCAAATAATTTAATAATCTGGGAGGCACAGTTCGGAGATTTCTTCAATGGAGCTCAGATAATGTTGGATACCTACCTATCTAGTGCTGAGTCAAAGTGGGGAATACAGTCCGGTATGGTTATGCTCCTACCCCATGGTATGGACGGAGCCGGCCCTGAGCACTCCTCCTGTAGGATGGAAAGGTTCCTGCAGATGACCGACAGTAAGGAGACCAGCTGTGACGGGGATAATGTAAACTGGGAGGTTGTTCATCCAACAACCTCGGCTCAGTATTTCCATCTCCTAAGACGACAGATGGTTCGGAACTACAGAAAACCTCTGGTTGTTATTGCTCCCAAGGTATTACTCCGTCTCCCTGCAGCTAGCACTACTCTGGACGATATAGCTCCAGGCACAAGCTTCCAGTCCGTTCTTACGGATCCAAATGTTTCCAATCCAGGTTCAGTTGAGAAGGTTGTGTTTGTCTCCGGACGTCACTTTTACACATTATCCAAGTACATCCAGGAGAACAATGTGAAGAACATCGCCGTCATCAGGTTGGAGTCTCTTTGTCCTTTCCCTGCAGAGAGGTTGCAGGAGGAGGTTAAGAAGTTCCCGAAGGCCTCCAAGTTTATCTGGTCTCAAGAGGAGCACAGGAACATGGGATGTTGGAGCTTTGTAAAACCTAGGTTTGAATCTTTGGTCGGGGTTCAGCTCCAGTATGTTGGAAGAGCAGAGCTCTGTCAACCTGCTGTAGGAATAGGACGGATACATCAGCAGGAAAATGCAAGCATCCTTGAGCAAACCTTTAGTTGATGTAATAATTTAGATTTTTATGTTACATCATCTTTTTACCTAACATTAATTTATCCTATATCCTGACTGAGTCGTATCTCAATCCTATAACTTCAAAGTTAACGTAACAATGCAACTCTTATTCAAGTTTAAATACCATGAAACTTATTATTATTTAAAGACAACTTAAGATTCTTTGTTAATTTCAATAGATTTACAAGATCCACTGTTAAAAGAAAGAAATACAAAAAATTAAAAATCAATACTGATTTTAAAAATATTTAAAGTTTTCTTGTCACTCTTAGATAATTTAAAATATCAGAAATTGTCTTCATAAATCCTGAATTACTGAAACAGCATGGTTTGGTCGAAAAATGATTAATGTGAGAACAATTAATGACTTTATGAGAAAACAAGGATTAATGTAAGAACAAGGATTAATGAGAGATAAAGAATAAATCAGAGAACAAGGATTAACGAGGGAACAAGGATCAATTAGAAAACAAGGATTTATGAGAAAGACGAGGATTAATGAGAACAAGGATTAATGAGAGAACTAGGATTAATAAGAAAACAAGGATTATTAAGAAAACAAGGATTATTAAGAGAGAATAATGACTGTATGAGAAAACAAGGATTAATGAGAAAACAAGGATTAATATGAGAACAGTGACTGTTTGAGAAAACAAGGATTAATGAGAAGACAAGGATTAATGAGAGAGAACAATAACTGTTTGAGAAAACAAGGATTATGAAAGACAAAGGATTAATGAAAGAACAAGGATTGATTTGAGAATAAGGATTACTGAGAGAACAAGGAATAATTAGAGATTCAAATTAATAGCAGATGTAGAAATAAAAACCAAACTTTATTAACTTGTAACATATTTGATGCAGTGCAGCTTAGGTTAGAGTAGAAATCTTTACAGCCTGAACCATATTAATCTCTAACCTAAACCATACTCATCCTTCATCTGAACCCTGCTCATCCCTAACCTGAACCCTACTCATCTCCATTAAGGTCTGAACCTTATCAGATATTTTACTCAAAGTATAAAATTTTAGATCAGAGTCTTCACTTTTTAGAATAAAGTTTTCACTTTTTAGAACAAAGTCTACACTGTTAAGGTCAAAATTTAAACTTTGCAGATTAAAATCTTCAATTTTTAGATCAAAATCTATATTTTTAGGAATAAAGTTAAGATTTTTTTGAGATATTGAGGCAAAAATGTTATCTAAAAAATTAACTTGTGAAGAAAACATATTTTACACAGATCAGATATGTACTACAAATTGTAGATCAAATTCCCTTTTTTGTGTGTAACCACATGATAGTAGGTCGGATGTGTAGTATAGTGGATTTGTCGTAGGTCAGAAGTGGAGTAATAGTGGATTTGTGTAGGTCGAAAGATAAACCATCTTCTATGTATATCTGTTCCGCAAGTTTTTGTTAGTTTTACTCTTTTCTCCCGACAAAGATCGTCTTACTTTAAGAGGATCAGAGAGAGAGAGAGAGTGTACAGTGTCAGCTGTTTTATGACCCTCCTGAGTCAAAGATTTAGCAGACTGAACTTGCCACGTCTCTCTCAAGGATAAACAAGGAAACAATCCCTATTCCCTGCGACAGTTTTTTTTTCCGTCCTACCTTCTCATTTATATACTTAACCATGTGGTTAAGGATTTGTTTTTACTTTTGTTTAGTTGAGAACTTAGTGCTGTGCTACAGCATATTAAAAAAGAAAGAAGATAATTATTTTCGTTAAATTTGATAAATAATGTTTTGTTGAAAAGTTCTACCATCATAGCAACTATTTTGTCAATCTTGTTTTCACAAGATCCGTGTTAATTCATTTACGAACCCGTTCTTGTCATTAAAATTTTACAAAAATTATATTATTTTTTTTCAGAAGAAATGGCTAGTCCTCGAACCCGCAGGGTTTTGGCGGAGCTTAGGCCTAAAGATGAAAATAATGTAAGCTGACAGGAATATATAATATTAATTTATGAACCCAGTGTTGCCTGTAAATATAAATAATATTTTCAAACCAAGCTAATAACATTCCCGTGGCCCTAACGAGTAACCTAATCTAAATTTGAGGCAAATCGGTCAAGGGTTTCATGAGTTATGCTCTTATGTCGAAACAAACAGACATAGGCAAAGAGAATATCTATGTTAAAAAGTTCTTCGCTCATATAAATATATATGTTTGCTACAGTTGGCCAAATTGGCTGACATTTGTTTAGAGAACCCATGGTTACCTTGGGTGTAGCAGGCAAAAAAAATTCAGATAGTTTATCTAAATATTTACTTCTCTTGTTTGTGTCGGTTTGTATGCAATAACGCCCATCGGATCCAAATTTGTTATGGCAACTAACAATTTACATGACCCCAGGGGAAGTTTATGGGCTGTCAAAGTAGAACAATTTTACTAAAAAAATGTCAGTTTTAAAATTTCGCCGATTTAAATAGAAAGATCCGCGAAAATTTAAGAACGATTAAAGTTTAGAGCAACAGTTAAAACCTAACATTTTTAAATGAAAGGGTGTTTTTAAATTACTAATCTAAGATTTTTAATACCTTAATTCTTTTTTAATTTAGAAATGTTTTGAATGTGGAACTCATAATCCTCAGTGGGTGTCAGTAACATACGGAATATGGATTTGTTTGGAGTGCTCAGGGAAGCATAGAGGACTAGGAGTACATTTATCATTTGTCAGGTGGAGTACGTAACATTTATCATTTGTCAGGCGGAGTACATTTATCATTTGTCAGGTGGAGTATATTTATTATTTGTCAGGTGGAGTACATTTATCATTTGTCAGGTGGAGTACATTTATCAATTGCCATGTGGAGTGTCTTCAAATGTATTATAATAATGGAGTGTATTTATCTTTTTTCAAATTGAGTACATTATATTTTTTCTGAAATGGATTTTTTTCTGATGAAGCCTTAATTAAGGTGTTTCCACGTAAAATGAAACGAAAACTCTCTTAAAAATCTTAATTTTCAATGTTCACATCTTAACAAGGTTTAATATTTAAAACTATGAATTCTTCTCAGATCATAACATCAAAGGTTTCCTTCATTAAGGAATTTATAATGAGGTTTGAGTTTTTTTTGTCGATTTATATTATTTAAACACTTATTTCAATCACTAATTAAATAATATTTTAATTATTTTATAATTAGGTCAGTAACAATGGATAAATGGAAGGACCTGGAGCTGAACAAAATGAAGAACGGAGGAAATAAACCTGCCAAAGAGTTTCTAGCTAAATATTCAGATTGGGAGGTAAATAATATGATTGTTAACTTCAAATTAAAATGTCAACCTTAATGATAACTTCGTGTTTTACATTAATTAATTCATTTTTATACATTTTATAATGTACATTTGAATCGTAAATATTAAAGATAGAATAAATAAAAAATTAATAATGATGAACTATAGTTTTGAACGAAGAAATGATAAAATCTGAATAAATTGAAGGAACTGGAAATGTAATTTTAAGTTACCCTGCATTTTTGAAGTGGAATGTCCGTCGTCCGATTTACAATGGTACCCTTAAACCTCTTTCTAATCAATTAATCAAATGGCGGTTTATCTATAAAAGTGAGTTTGCAAATTTTTACTCTGGAGAGAATAAAGGAAATTTCCTGAATAAACCACGTTTCAAGATGAAGAACCGATGACTTCTTTCTCATTATTACTCAGATAGAGGATTAAAGGATACCATTGTGAATCGGACATTCCACTCTTTAAATGAAGGGAAACTTGAAAAACTGCTACAGACCTTGTGCAGGGGAAATTAGGTGTGCAAATAGCAGAGGGAAAGAACGAATAAGGATAAATGAATATGGGATGAAGTCAAGATAAGGAATGAAATCATGAATGATTAAGGAATGAAATCATGAATGAATAAGGAATGAAATCATGAATGAATAAGGAATGAAATCATGAATATATAAGGAATGAAATCATGAATGAATAAGGGATGAAATCAAGAACGAAATCATGAATGAATAAGGGATGAAATCATGAATGAATAAGGAATGAAATCATGAATGAATCATGAATGATTAAGGAATGAAATCATGAATGAATAAGGAATGAAATCATGAATGAATAAGGGATGAAATCATGAATGAATAAGGGATGAATTCAAGAATGAAATCATGAATGAATAAGGAATGAAATCATGAATGAATAAGGGATGAAATCAAGAATGAAATCATGAATGAATAAGGAATGAAATCATGAATGAATAAGGGATGAAGTCATGAATGAATAAGGGATGAAGTCACGAATGAATAAGGAATGAAATAATGAATGAAAAAGGGATGAAATCAAGAATGAAATCATGAATGAATAAGGGATGAAGTCATGAATGAATAAGGGATGAATTCATGAATGAATAAGGGATGAAGCTATGAATGAATAAGGGATGAATTCATGAATGAATAAGGGATGAAGCTATGAATGGATAAGGGATGAAGTCATGAATGAATAATTGATAAAAGTCATGAATGAAATGGGATGAATTCATGAATGAATAAGGAATGAAGCCATGAATAAAGATTGAATAAAATTGCGAAAGAATAAGTAATGAAGTAGATATATAATGAAAATGAAAATAAATTAAATGTTTCAGGAGAACGGATCCCTATCTGTCAAATATAACAGTCGTGCTGCTGCGCTTTACCGAGATAAAATCTCAACTGAAGCACAGGGAGGATCCTGGTCAGAGAAAACATCCTCAGGTAGTTCTTTCATTTCTTGATAATAGCTTTAAAATAGGCATATCAAATTGGATCGTTTAAAGCTCTAAATTTAGATTTTTGGAACTGATCCGAAAATTTAAAAGAATGAATCATTTAAAAAAATAGTTGAAAAATCCCTGTAATATATTTTAATAACAACTACTAATGATGATAATGCCTATTTTAAATTTAATTCTTTTCAAATGAGACCTAAGGGATCAACGGTGGAAACTTTTGTCTGTGTTGAGTATCCTTTATCTTGAACGCTCAATCTCGACATCCATTGTGGGCAATAAAGTCTAGGATCAAATGCTTGAAAACTTCATTTTTGTTTTCCCTTCTGGGTACGACCACAACAGGATATCGAAGAGGAATAAAATAAGATTGAGATGAATTCTTAATCCCAAGATTAAAAAAAACAAAAGTTCTGACTTCAGCACGGAAAGAATCTTCTGTAAATAAAATATGACTAATCCTCTTATTGTGAATATTTAGCTAAGGATCATAAATCCTCGTTTATCTCCTCCTCATCTAGCTCCGGGCCCTCATATAACAACCAGGGAGGGATGAAATCTAGCCAAAGTTATTCCTCAGGTAAAATCAGTTCGCCCATTTTCACTAATATATTTTGATGCAATAATATATTTTGATAATACAAATCTCTGAAAAAAATTGACAAGTTGTATTACATTCAAAGCCACATTTCAATCAAGAAAATGCATTTGCTTTGTATAGGAAATTAAAGTCATTTAATAGTTTGAATTTTTATCTACACATTTTTCTATCACGTGTTTTTTTTTTAATTTCTATCATATTTTTCTCCGAATTTTCTTTTTTTTTTAAATATGAAATCATTTCTTAAAATAGAGTTTGTCTACAAAAAAATATTTAGCGTTTTTTTTTCTGTTAAAATTGGTACATTTTCAAAAATAAAAAATGTGGATTTTTAAAAATTCAAACATCCATAAACATTCCTTGGATTCATAAGATTTTCCAAAAAATATTTGAACCCTATCCCTTAGGCCGTTTTGACGTTTATTGGAAACAAACAGACAGCCTGAAAAGCAATATATATATATATATATATATATATATATATATATATATATATATATATATATATATATATATATATATATATAGATTAGAAATAGCCAGCGTTACCCAGGGCACTCATAGTTACTCCCGTCGTTTACCCGATACGATCTTAGGCATTCTGGGGTTCCACGTTTGGTTCCCCTTCAGATTTAAACTTGATTTGATTATAAAAGTGGACCTAGTCGAGGGGAGGGGAAGGCAATCCGCACCCGTTTAGACTCCATCCCACAATTGACTCACAAACATAGACTTGCGACAACACGCTCACCCTACTCAACTTGGAATCCCAAAACCAAAGCTAAGAACATTCCAGTGGTTCTTCGGATTTCCCCAATCAAAATTTAAGACAAATCGGTCCAAGGGTATATGTGTTATGATCGGACATACAAACAGAAAAACATGAATATGTTGACTAGCTTGGGAACCCAGCGCTGCCCAGGATACTGAGAGTTACTCCCGCCGTTTACCCACACTTGAATGATTTTAACGGGAAACCAAATTTTCGTTATAAAAGTCGACCCACTAATTTTAGAATCTCAAAACCAAGGTAAGAAAGAACATTCCCGTGGGTCTACGGAGTTCCCTAATTAAAATTTGAGGCAAAACGGTCAAGGGGTTCCTGAGTTATGATCTGACAAGCTAACAGTCAGACAGACAAACAGAGATTACAACTTTATATATATATATATGTTCCAAACATTTGTTCTTGTTTTCTATTATCCATTTCAATTTCAATTTCAATTTCACAAATTAAGCAAAATTAAATTGGAGTTTTTTTTCTGAAAGATGATAATGTTTCTTGTTATCTAGGTATGGATGGTAGCTATGGTGGAGGTGGTGGTGGAGGAGGAGGAGGTGGGTACCAGGGGGGCCCGGTAGATCCAAACTCTAGAGAATTCAAGGCGCAAAAAGAAGATTTCTTCGGGAAAAAACAAATAGAAAACGCCAACAGACGAGAGTGAGTTTTCAAACAACTTTTAAGAAACGTTATCAATGGATAAAAGTTTTTAAAAAATGTTGTTAAATATTTTTGTTTTGTTTAGAGATTTACCTCCCAGCCAGGGTGGTAAATATGCTGGGTTTGGTAGTTCGTGTAATAATCCTCCAGTTAGATCAGCAACTACCCAGGTACTTTACCAGATTAATCAAAATCGACTTTTAGAATGTCTGTTATTTTTCATTTTTTTGTAAAATTTGTTCACACATTTAAAAACCTTATAAAGGTATTTAATCGTAAAATTGAGAATAATCAAATATTCAAACTAACTAAGAACATCTTTTTGTGACAACCGACTAATTTTTTGTCGTAGACAATAAGAGATGGTAAATCTTACATTTGCATTTAATTTTTTAAAAACTTTGTTGTCTTAAAATGATCTAGAAAAACTTAACATTTTTTATTTCATCAACATTTTCACAGGACTTAGCATTTGTACATGTACTCTCTGTACCGTATTATGTTTTCACAGGACTCAGCATCTGTACATGTACTCTCTGTACCGTATTATGTTTTCACAGGACTCAGCATCTCTACCTGTACTCTCTGTACTTGATTATGTTTTCACAGGACTCAGCATCTCTACATGTACTCTCTGTACCGGATTATGTTTTTACAGGACTCAGCATCTGTACATGTACTCTCTGTACTTGATTATGTTTTCACAGGACTCAGCATCTCTACATGTACTCTCTGTACCGTATTATGTTTTCACAGGACTCAGCATCTGTACATGTACTCTCTGTACTGGATTATGTTTTCACAGGACTCAGCATCTGTACATGTACTCTCTGTACCGTATTATTTTTTTACAGGACTCAGCATCTGTACATGTACTCTCTGTACTTGATTATGTTTTCACAGGACTCAGCATCTGTACATGTACTCTCTGTACTGGATTATGTTTTAGCAGGACTCAGCATCTGTACATGTACTTTCTGTACCGTATTATGTTTTTACAGGACTCAGCATCTGTACATGTACTCTCTGTACTGGATTATGTTTTAACAGGACTCAGCATCTGTACATGTACTCTCTGTACTGGATTATGTTTTAACAGGACTCAGTAGCTGTACATGTACTCTCTGTACCGGATTATGTTTTTACAGGACTCAGCATTTGTGCATGTACTCTCTGTACTGGATTATGTTTTAACAGGACTCAGCATCTGTACATGTACTCTCTGTACCGGATTATGTTTTTACAGGACTCAGGATCTCTACATGTACTCTCTGTACCGGATTATGTTTTCAGTTTTCACAGGACTCTGCATTTGTGCATGTACTCTATGTACTGGATTATGTTTTAACAGGACTCAGCATCTGTACATGTACTCTTTGTACTGGATTATGTTAACAGTAAATAAAATTCAAATTCGCATCAAAATATGAACCTGTTATCCCTTGACCTCTGGATGTTTAGGATTTCACGACCTTGGGAGGATTGACCTCAAGTTTGTCCTCGTTTTCTCTGAACGCTGGTAGCCTCGGATCCAGAGTAGCTGAGGTCAGTTTATTCAATGGTTTCGGTTAAAAGTTGACAAAGTTTGAATTTTTTTGTATTTTTAATTTGTATTTCACATAAAACCAATTTAAAAGTTATTAAAACTAAAACCAAAAAATCGTATAATTAACGATATCAATTACAAAAATTATAACGTGTTTCATTTAAGCGAAAACTAAAGTGAAAAATTAATTGTTATAATTCTCAGATTATTTTTCCAAAATAATTTATTTCAGTAAATTATGTCCTTTAGGTAACCTAAAAGAAATTGCAATAAAAATTTATTTTGACTTTTTTTATAGTATCTTGATGAAATTAAGTAGAAGAAACCAAATATGGACATTTTCATATTATTTGTATGTTTTTAAGAAAATTTTAGAAGTGAATTCTGAATTACTTTTAGAAATATTTTTAATGTTTAGGTTGGATGGAGGTTCACATCTCTAGCTGGACAAAAAGCTGCAGAGTTAACAGAAAATGTCTCTGAAAAGGTATTCATATAAAAATACACAGTTGATAAAAGAGAATTTAAAAAAATATTTTAAAGTTTATTTTTTCAACTGTGACATTTTTTCCCCAATGAATGTTAGAAACGGTTGTTTGTGTAATTAGACGAACTAAAACATGTTGCATGAATAACTGTTAACTCCAAGTTGTTTTATGAGATAGAAAATCCTGTGAGTCGGAAGTTTTTACCGTTGAGAATAAAATTAAGTTCAGATATCCACACTTAATCAAAGTTATGATCTAAAGAAACTGATTACATGTCTCAAAATTAAATTTTCTTTGCAACCTAATGCTGTAGGACTTATATTTAAATGTAAATTCTACAAGAACAAAAAGTCAAAGTTTAAAATATCAAAGGTTTACAAAATCAGGTTGCACAGATAAAAGGATTAAAAATCAAAAATTGAGGCGAGTAATCAAGTCCTTTGGCCTTCAAGAATAAAACTAAGTCGGACTTGAATATAGGTTTTTTTTTGTAACAAACTCAGATTTTCTCCCGGCTACGATGAGTTTTACAGTTTGTATTGTATCTTGATTCAGATTTTAAGTTTGGAAAGCAGAAACCACGATTAAATCAAATATTCTTTTAAAAATCTCATCAGCTTGTTATTCTCGATTTTAGAACTGTATTGAATCTTTCATAATACACATTAAGCTATAAACTTTAATGGATGTTAGATCAACGGCTCAAAACAAACATTCAATGTTACGCATGATTTTTGTTGGTTTAGTTTTGCTCTAAATAGTTAAGATACATTTAGTTCTTTTATTTGGAGGAGGTGGGCTCAGGATAAAAATTTACAAATATTTTGAGCCCCCCTCCCCCTCTTTTTTATCCTTAGTTATCCCTCCCCTCCCTTCTATAGGTTAAAGATGGAAGCCTGCTAACCGACCTGACCTACTCAGCAACAAATATTGCGGGAAAGGTAGATTTATTCAGGGCTTAATCTAGTTTTCTGTTTGCTAAAAATATTATTTAAATTTATCTTCTGAATAAAGGAACCGCAAACCCCCCCCCCCCCCGCCTACTCACCCTCATAATCATTCACGTTAAAATATAAATCAAATACGTTTTTTACACATTTATGAATTATGATGCTTCAGTGCTTGGTCCAAGATCTGCCGGGAACTAGCGCTCGCCCTTCACTCCCCCACTTCGTCTTTTCTTAGTCAAAAAATTGTCCAAATCTGAACTATATCAAAATATGGGCAATTCTATAAGTTCTTGATTTCTGAGATTGCACCTTTTTGAGGGGATGGGGGGACCCGTGGGCGTGGCGGGGTTACTCGTAGGCGTGGCATCTTCTTAGATTGTCTCGAAAATTCTAGACTGGTCACTACTAACAAATTGAAAATTGCAGTGGATTTGTACCATTCTTCATTATTTAGGAAAGATTAAGCCCTTTTTTTAATTCATATATTTATCGGAATGTTGCCATAAACCTTTGTTCTAATCCGATGATTTTCTTAGTTTTTTTCCTAAACCTTTTAATGCATGTTCATTGTTCTCTTAAAGGGACTGAAAGCGTAATTTCAAGTGATTCTCCCTGAAAGAATGGCAATGTCATATTTACAATTTGGTAACCTGAAAACATTTATCTGATCAATAATGTGGAAGATTTTGTCTTTTTAGGTTTAAAATTGTTTAATTCTGGTAATTGATCCTATATGTTTTCTTGTAGTAGAAAAGTGCAAGTCACTTTTGTAGAGTAATCACAATTGAAAATAATCAGTTTAAAAAATTAAAAAATATTGAAATCTAATTCATACTTGGGAATCGGGTATTGCCATCTTTGCATGGAGGCTCACTAGAAATTACGCTTACAGTCCCTTTAACTGTGTAAACCCCAATAACTGATTTTATTCTGTGTAAATATATGTAGTTAGTAGTAAAATAAAACTAGTGTTTATGGAATATGGAGATTATTGGGAAAAATCCTTTTGGAAAATAGGTATTTTCCCAAAGGCATTTTCCCAAGGGCGACTTGTCAAGTGACAATTTCTGAAGTGGAGAAAATCAAATTTATGCGACATTAATATATGGTACGATCTAGTGATCTCGTAACTCCTAGTTTTGACTGTACAATTTACATACTAGCTTGAGGGAACCAAATTTACATACTAGTTTGAGGAAACCCAATTTACATACTAGTTTGAGGAAACCAAATTTATACACTAGTTTGAGGAAACCAAATTTACATACTGTGTTTGAGGAAACCAAATTTACATACTAGTTTGAGGGAACACCAAATTTACATACTAGTTTGAGGGAACCAAATTTACATACTAGTTTGAGGAAACCAAATTTACATACTAGTTTGAGGAAACCAAATTTACATACTAGTTTGAAGAAACCAAATTTACATACTAGATTGAGGGAACCAAATTCAAAACATTTTCGTTTTTCTCGAAAAAGAAGAAATATGATTCAAACATGTAAGATTTCCATTTAACGTTAAGTTTACCTTTATTTGACTCGAGGCAAATATAAAAACAAAAAATCAACATCTGAACCTGCTCTTTCTAAGATGGATGCCATGGCAAAATGTTTTTAATTAATTTTAAGAAATTGATTCTCGCTTTTGCTATAAATTTATTTAACAATAATAAATATATTTACAAAGTTTAAACAGGTTAACCATCCTTCTGGGAAACTTGTATAATATATTTTCAAAACTCCAGTATTCTTGATCAACAAACAATTAATCATATTTTTTATATTTTATTATTGTCCATTTTTGTTTCTGTTCTTATCGCTAATATTATGCAGGAAACGGCTTAATATTTCTCTAATTTTATCATACTTATTTAAACATTTACTATTTTTCATACACTGTTATTGATCTATTGATCCATTCTCCCCTTTCAACCCTCCCTCCTCCCCGCCCCCTCTTTCACCCTTTCAGTTGCAGTGTGTTTGTTAACCTGGAGAGTAAGGCGCCTACTCTCTCTCCTACCCGGAGTAAAATAATAAACCTAAACCTGAATCAGTATTCTGATCCTGCTACCGTAATCTGCCGGTTCTATAGTTGAAATTGATCCAACTTCAGCCGTTGATTTCCTTTAAACAATTTCTCGGATTATCTAATCCATTATACCAAAAGTTTTCATTCATGGACAACTTCAAGAATCAAGTTTTTTTTTTGGGGGGGGGGGGATTATTTCCAATGTCGATTTGTCATTTTCTTCCTGAGACACATAAAAACTCTCGAAAACTAGCCTTTCGGCTTTCAGCCCATTTTAATATTTGAACTTTATTTTTCTTATTTCACTGAAGTAAGTTCGTCCTAGTTTATAAAATCGTCTACCACAAAGCAAATTTATGTTGTAAAGAATGATGAAATATTTGCTGTTTTTAGTCATATAATCATTGGTCTGATATAGCTGTTCTAAATTAGCTAACTTCTAATGATGCTTGCCAAATCATACAGGGTGTCTCAAATAACATAAGAATAAAATGAAAAAATGAAAAGTTTTGTGCACAAGAGATTAAATTTCAAGCGGGATATATTAAGAAAGGGGATCACAGCTGTGAAAGCTTATTTTGTGCTTATGTTGTTCATAAATAATGGCGATTTCCCCCACTTTATGTCATTTAAAGTTTATCAACCCATCATAATTGCATAAAACTCTTCCGTTCAACAAACTGTAAATATTATGCTTTTTAAATTTTTCAGATGCGTATTTAGTTTTATTTTGAACAATCTTAACAGTTGACGTTTGCTAGGTATTTCGCAAATTTGAACAAATGATTTGCAATTTCACTCATTCCTTTGTGTTCATTATTTAGTTTTAAAGTTGCCTTTTTTCCACTGAATTTTTTTTTTAATTTTTTAACTAGCCTTTTCTGATCAAACTGTAAAAAGTTAAAAAATCAAGATTTTGTTTTCATTTTTTTATTGTTATTTCTCGTTGAATAGATATAATGGAGGTTGAAGGAAAAGTTTTGAAAAGTAGTTTCCTGGACTTGGAAGAGTGGGATCTAGAATCCACTCTCAACCAGGAGTTTAAAACTTGTAAACCTGGACACTTGGGGGAGATTAACACTCTCCTGGATGGGGAGGTCAGAGAGATTAACTCTCCTTTGATGGAGTTGATCATGAAAACGAAGTGTAGGTTGAGGGGGATGGAGAAGAAGGTGAGCACTTGCACCAGAGAGAGTCGAATGCAAAAGGATTGTCAATGTTAGATTAAATGACCCTTTGCAGGTTAAAAAAATTCACAGCATTGCCCTTTATGTCAAACAAAAGTAACTTGTCCAAGTTTTCGATCTTAACTCCTCTTATTTAAGAGCTATGAAGAAGAATACAAATATTTTGAATTTCTAATATGTTATGTAAAAAGATGAATGTGATATTTTTCATACTTGCGTAAACTCAAAAGTAGAGAATCTACAAGGTCCTTCAATTTAGTTTCTGCAGTGTCTTCAAACATAGATATAAGTTTGGACACAAAATCGATATGACAGAAAATTCTACATGCTTTTGTGTACATCTGATGAATAAGTTGACGAAATGAACATTAGTAAATTTTGTAAAATGAGATGAGCAAAATAGCATGATTTCTCATGATGTATTTTCTGTACTAATCTATCATTTTTGCCTTCTAACCATTATTAAGAATCTGGACTGAGAACAATTTTTGCCTTATTATTAGCTCGATTGTACTTTTCCAATGCTGTTTTTTTTGCAGAAAAAAAATTTCGTTTAATTTTTTACATACACTATTGTTCATTAAGTACACTATTGTTTGTTATGCATACTTCGCACTGCTAAATAAATTGGTTTATAGATTCTTAAAAAAAAAAAAAAAAAAATTGTCTACAGTTCCGTTAATTGTAAACTTTTAACTTTCCAGAATTATTTCAGAGGGATTTTTCAAAAAATGTTGAAAGTTTAACTATAACTGCAGTAGGATTACTACACAGTGCAGTATACCCGGTTTATTTGATTTGCATTGTTAAATGACAAGTTAGGACTTTACTTGCAGAATAAAGGAGATAAATAGGGGGGTGGGGGCGGGCTAAGTCTGTCACAATACTGTTGGCAGTTGAGAAATTTTGGGATGTTTGCTTTTTCAATGTAAACATATATTGTTATGAAAAGGGGGGGGGGTAGTAGTACATACAGTGTACCAGAAGAGAAAGTGTAGTCGTGTTAAGGGTGGATTTTGTGAGGGTGGGGTAGAATGCAAATAGGGGAGGGGGTGAATGCAAATTGTGTTGGGGGTGGGGGTGGGAGGGGATGTGCTGGACTGTAGAGTGGAATAAGTAGAACTTGAACCTAACTCGGCACTATCACAAAATCTAGCTTTTAATTTCAAATTAGAAAACATGACCTTTTATAACATTTGATGATATTGTTTTTATTGTAATCACACCTCATATTTGCACGGAACTTTCTCAAAAATTTTTCATGCAAAGTATTAAGCTTTATAAGTAACTGGCTTGAGAACCCGGCGTTGCCCAGGGTACTCATAGTTACTCCCGCCGTTTACCCGCGGTTGGCCGTAAGTTACGATTTTAGTTTTTCCCCCTATAAAAGTTGGCTATAGCATCGTAAAGTCAAGCTAAAAACATTTCCGTGGTTCTTCCAAATTCCTCAACCAAAATTTGAGGCAAATCAGTTAAGAGGTTCCTGAGTTATGATCGGACATACAAACAAACCGACAAACAGAGATTACAACTTTACATATAGAAGATGATAATTTAGGTGACAGATGTAGTCGGGAAAAGGAATTTTGATCTTTCCTCTCTTTGGGGTACAACTAGGTAAGTTATTAGAGGATGCTTTTTTATAATTTTCTGCGAGAATATATATATTTAACAAAAGATTAATTGTTTAATGCTTTTTGTTGTTGTGGGCTTAATTGTGTTGTGACCAAACCTTTTAAGCACACGAAAAAAATTTTAAATTTCAAAATTGTTTTAGTCTGTACAGTGTTCAGTATAAAACTTGGTAACATGTAGTTTAATGAACAGTGTTAAGTGTACAGTGTACGCTGAAGCAGAGGCGTACTCGGNGGGGCAGAAAAAGTCAATGATTTTACATACAAAGCAAATAAATTTTTCTTTCTTTTAAACCTAAAATTTTTAAATAATCGGTTTACTCATAACTTTTCTTTTTTAGATCCGATTATCAACCGTGCGAGGATTCTGGTTTAATGCGATCTTCATCAAATGGAATGTAAGTAAATCCTCAGTTTATTGTACAATGTAGTAAATTCTTGTTCCCAATCTGAAGTATAAGATAGAAACTCAGCATGTGTATTGTGTACTACTCTCATATTTGAAACAAATTCTTCAATTTATTCGCTACTAATCTTACTTCTATCTGTTGCGTCTACAAGGAGAAAATTGATAAAGACGTCTCATGCCGAAGAGCGTAGCGCCCATACTTGAGGAAGTTGGAACATAAGACTTAGACCGTAAAAAAATCAAATTAATATCAAACAAATCATTCAGATATTACAACCTATAGTCATCGATTATCTTTCGCCACATTTGTATATAGTTGATATTTCATACTAGTTTTGATTTTGTTTTTTAAATTAATATTTAGCTTACAAATTGTTTCGAACATTCCTGGAAAATATGAAAATGTCGTCTTCATTAACAAAAATCCTCGAAACAGGAATAAATGTTTTTATAAGTAACTCTCAGATCATAACAATTAAAACATATTATGAAAAATCAACTATATATGAATGTGGCGAAAGATAATCGATGACTATAGGTTGTAATATCTGAATGATTTGTTTGAAATTAAATTGATTTTTTTACGGTCTATGTCATATGTTGCAATTTTCTCAATTTGTATGGTCGCTACGTTCTTCGGTATGAGACGTCTTTAACAAGTTTCTCCTTACAGACGCAACAGATAGAAGTAAGAATAGTAGCGATCAAAAGCGCTTTTTTATTGCGTTAAGCCTATACCCCCTTTCATTTTTCGCGAACACTCCCTTTAACAAATGATAATCAACAGTTGATCAAAGGATTATAAGATGCATAATTGTTTGAATATTGATCACATGGGCAAGACGAAATCTACAAGATGAAAAGCTTTATTTTTTCTGAAAGATTCGGACACGGTTGTAAATACATACGTTATATAATATAAATTTTTAGAAAACATACGTTATATAGTAAAAATTTTTTAGAAAACATACGTTATATAGTAACAATTTTTTAGAAAAACAATAAATTTTACCTTGAAATATTTATAAATGTTTTTAACAATCTTTGATCATTTAAATTTTTAAAATTAAAAAATTTTCTTTGTAATTTCTTCGACAGTTACTTATAATTATAAATAAAAATTGTTCAGCTAAATTAGAATTTTTCTTTAGAGCATTTCCATAGAGTAGTTTTATCATTAAGTATTAAAAATAAGAAGAAAAGGGCCACATCACGTCGTGGATATTTTGCTCTTCGTTTCCAAAGAAAAGGAATCAATTATCATGATAAATAAATTATTTTTTAAAGATTTTATAATTGAATCAGAGTATACAGGAGGGGAGGGATTTCATTTGCCACTTTTAAAACTTGTAATTTCATAGATTTAACAGCATCTCCCCCCCCCCATTTTAACCATGGTGGTCAACGTTTGAATGATGAGAAAGAAATTGTATTTTCAAGATGAAAGAACAACGTTTGAAACATTGAAATATTTTATTAATTTATAGAAATTCACTAAAAGAATATTCTGCCACAGACCAGATTTGAGATAGGATGGTGAAAGAGGGGGGTGGGGATTGACATTTAACTAATCTGTGTCGTTATGTTGATTTATTGATTGGCTATCTTTCCTGCGTAGTTGACAGAATAAATTTTATCTCTCGGTAAAAACATTTTATTGTAACATTTGGAGAATAAGATGTATACAAACAATATATTTATTTGTAAACTGGAAAAGATTTTTATGCCAAAACTCGTGGCGCTAATTTTGATTTTGAGGAAATTTTTTTTTTCTGAATAAACCTTTGCTCATTAGGATATATCGTGAGTTTGACCGATAAAAAAATTAGTATTTTTTAATGTTTAGGTATAACGGAATGGAATAAAATTTGTTTTGATCCGATTGTTATCTGTATTAAATGGGTTGATATTTATTTTAATGAGGCTGGTAGGAAATACCGGGTGTTTGGTTGGGCCTCGGAACCTCTGGGTTCTGGAGTTTCTTGCATCTAGTTCTTCTCCATCCTTTCTCCGGGATACTGTTTAGTATAGTGAGGAGGAAGGGAACCGGGGCATCGTTGCTTCCGGATACAGTTCAGTAGACAAGGAGGAACTACAAAGGGGGGGGGTCCTATCTTTGCTCTGGAATACAGTTTAGTACAAAGATGAGAAGAGTGGTCAGCACTTGCAACGGGAAATACAGCTTAGAACAGAGGGGGAAGGGGTGGGTGGTTCGGGTCTGGTTTTGGGATAACATTTATGTTCAAAGAGAGAAGGGGTCTACTCCTTGCTCCGGGATAGAGTTTAGTATAAAGGGAGGAGGGGAGGTTACCATCCTTGCTCAGTTTAGTATTGAGGGGTGATCCTTGCTCCAGGGTTCAGTTTAGTACAAAGGTCTGAGATCCTTACTCCGGGGTTCAGAGGGATGATCCTTGCTCTGGGATTCAGTTTGATACAGAGGGAGAAGGGAGATCCTGGCTCCGGGATACAGTTTAGTACAGAGGGAAGATCCTTGCTCTGGGATTCAGTTTAATACAGAGGGAGGAGGGTGTTCAATTTATTTTGAGAAATATTTTACACTCTAAATATGATCATTTAAGACCTGTAATGGCACATTAGGACATCCTATAAGGTGTATAAGACAGATATTCAATGGTATATGTGAGCCTGAAGATTAATTGTGTTACAACACATTCATCATAACTTACTCTCAGCCCAGTCCAGGGATAACGTGAGATGGGAGAAGATCAGATGAGATTGAACTGCGATTGAAGGACGAGAGAATAGATGCAGTAAGATGGTACAAAGTAGAATTGGTCGATATTAGATGGGATGCTGAGAAATAGGATAAAGTTTTATGCCATTAAGGGAGTTAGGATTAGGTCATTGCACTGTAAGATATAACAACTAACAAATAGAAGAATAATATAGAGCGAGGAAGATGGGGGAAGGGGGGGGGATTTTCTGAATAAATTTTCTCTCCAGGTTCTACAAAAATTATCCATTGAATATTCAGCCTGAGATAAACTGACAATAGAACTGGCTGAAACTTTCTCCACGGAATAGATCCTCCTCTCCAAGAGATTCAGAACTAACCTAATTACATCCTTAATTATTTTCCTTTCAACTAAATAAAAATGTAGGCTCGAGTGTTCCTGGATAATTTTTATGTTTTGTGTTTTCAGAGAAATTATTTAAAAGAATGGATTGAATAATCAAATATGGAAAGCTTGATGCAAAGTCTAGGATGGGGTTCAGGTGGAGGAAAGGGAGGATATCAGACACCAGGCTTAAAGGCTGGAGGTACCGGAGGATATTTCCCTGCCTCCGTTAGTTTACTTGCTGGGGATAGTGATGATGAGGTTGAAGGGGAAGGTGGAAGTGCTTGCAAAAGTAACAATTCCAAAGAAGATGAATCTCTTAACTTACAACTTGCAAAGCTGGATAAATCATATCAAAAGTTCACTTTAAAAAACAAACAGTAAGTTTTATTAATTCCTTGTGCGCTGATTTAAATAAGTTATTGGCGTAATTTTATGTTATCCTCCAAAATTAAATAGTTTAATGTTCAAATCACATTAGTGAAAACCAGAGGCGCAACTAGGATTTTTGCTAGGGGGGGGGGGGCAATATATAATTTTGTAATGGTCTGGGGGGTTTCCCCCCCCTTTTCGAAAATTTTTCGAAAACATTAGTGCTATATTAAGGGTTTGAAGTCGAAAAAAAGGAAATTTTAAGTTGTTGCATGCAGATTTGGCTGCATGTTCAATTCAAATCGATTTTTTGTTCTTGTGTTTTTACAAAATTTATAACCTCCAACAGCTATAAAATGAATGATATGAGTCAATTCATTGTGTGTGTGCGAATCGCAAAAGAGTATTTTTTAAGTACCTGGTTTAATTACAGATTAAATTGCAAGAAATAATCATAAAAATACATAGGTAAAGAATAAATTCAATCATCTAAATTGAAAAAGGACAGATAATGTTACCTTTTCTCTTGAAGTTATTGAATTAATGATTGATCTAACCAACATTCATAATCTAAATTCATTTTCGATTTTATAGAACTTCTGTCAAAGAAGAATATAAATCTTGTTTGTTATCAAATATGATAATCAGTTAGAAATTTGCCAGGTTCAGAATTTTCTCTTGATTTGGATATGAGTTTTTGCCACAAACTCAAATATTCTAATCCCTAAATCTTTGCACTGAGTGGTGTAAACATTTGATATTTCAAACTTGGAATATTTTACCATAATAATTCAAAGTTTGATATCTACGAGTACTCTATAAACTCAACACAAATAAAATACAATTCAGAAGTTTTTTTACATTAAATGTTTACATAGCCTTGAGAATTGAGAAAGATGAAAATATTTTTTTTTTTAACTAGCTATAGTATAATAAAATAATACAATAACTCTATTGGTTTTCTTATTCCTGTGATACTGATTTTCGCCATTCTTTCTTTCTTTTCATTCTGCAAGGGGGGGGGGGCGCGCCCCCCTCTCAGGTGCTAGGGGAGGGCGCGCGCCCGGCTGGCCCCCCCTAGTTGCGCCTCTGGTGAAAACCTTTTTAAATGGAGATATTCTATATAATCTTTATTGCTGTTTATCTAAAAAATTGGCTTGAAAGTTATTTCATTAAAAAGCAGGAAAGAAAATTGACTAAATTCATCTCTGTTTAGTTTGATGACTAAATATTTTTCATTGTTCCTCAAATAAAGGATTAAACTGCTCTAGCATGTCATTTTTTCAATTATATCGATAGTCTCTTCAAAACTTATTTTTTTTCAATTAAAAATTTCAATTATTTTATTATTTTAACTCGATAAAATCTGATTTTCAAAAAGTTATTCATCTTGTTTTAATCCCGTGGACCAGAAGAAAATGTATGTACACTGTACAGTGTATAATGCATGTTTAGTATTTCCTTCAGTGTTCATTCCTTCATCTGCATTGTGTAATCAAGTTAAGTCTGGAAACATTAGCTTAGATAAACAATTGCTAATTTTCTTCTTTAGGCTCCTTTTGATTATTTCTTATTAATTAATTGGGAAAATAAAATTTTTTTTGTTTTTGTAGTCTTACTGTCTTATTTGTAGTATTTGATTTTCCATTTTACTTCATAATGAAAATCAAATAAGTTTTTTAGGAAAACACATAAACTTTGATTAAAACTGGATGGAGTTACGATCTTTTTGCAGGATTTTATTTTAAACTAGAAAGTTCATTTTTTGAACCTTGCGGCGGCTGTGTTGTTATTAACTTCTTATTTTAATAGACTATCAACGAAACTTCAAGAAACCTTTCATTTAAAAAGTTTAGTTAAAGGCTAGCACAAGTATTCTCTTCAAATTAATATGACAAGAACTTGTAAATGGCAGGCTTTCTGCATAAGGTTTCCTTCATAACGAAAAAATATTAAAATAGCAGTTTTTAAACGCTCATTTTTAAACAATGATTACAACTATACACGCTTTCAAATCTGTTTACAACCTAAAAAAGATTTTAAATCATTTGACATGTGTACTGGATGAATTGCTCATTTGAACAAAATGATGAAAAAGTGTATTTCATTTATCAGAAAAATAAGAAAATAAATCCGAGACTCTTTAATGATGTTTATTTCTCTGGAACCCTTGAACCTGTGAAACGCAATAAATATTTTATTAAGATATTTAACATCTTGGAAATACTGTTTTCACGCATTTAAAAACATTTCACCAAGCTGTGTCTGTTTACTGCAAGGATTGGATGATGGGGGGGGTGAACAGATTTCAATCCATAACATTACAGTGAACAGTGTAAACTGTACACTGTTGCAATTTTAATGGTTGAAGAATAATACTGCAGTATTTTAATGCTTTAAATTGAAATTAAAGATAGATTCATGAACATTATTATCTAAGCTGTTGATTCAAGATAACCATCTAAGAACTGTACTTTTTTGTTCATAAACCCAGCTAGATTAATATAGAACATTCTTGGTATGTAGAAATATATATTTAGTTCAGATTCTTCTTATTTTCGATACCATAGAAAATGCCAAGTAAATTATATATTTTATTGATTATATTTATTTAAGTATATGATGAATAATAAATATACATTTTTTTAAACCAAGAGCCCAATTTTTTTATGTTAGAAGTAGTTGAACTACGTATACGTATATGTAGTTGAACTACTTCTCGCTGTTTATTACACCTGGAGTTCATATCTAATTTCTAATGAATAATTTAGAACCTTAATGAAAAATGTACTTCCTAAATGGTTCTCTCACATTTTGCAAGTTTTTTCCAGCTATTACTGCTTTTGTACTTTTCATATTTTGGGTGAAAAAAATTTAAGCTTTAAGAAATAGCGAATAAAATGTTGGAAAGAAAATCTACTTTACTTACTTCCATCTTAGATAATTTTCAGTACATATATACAGAAACATAAAACACCAAAATTGTTTAATTTGTTTTTTACTTGTTATTCTTGTTGTTAGGACTGGATATCAGCAGGACGGATTACTCCAGGATAAATCTCCAACCGAGGATTCTTACGGGGGATACAATAGCAGTGACAACTTTCAAGGATTTGGAGAAGAAACAAAACCGTAAGATTTAATACTTTATTAATCAAGATTTATGTTTATTTTTAGATTGTATCTAAGAAGATATTTTTAGATTTTAATTGCAGGGATAGAAAAAAATCGGATGATTGGGGTTCAGGTTGGGATGACTCCGGGTGGTCAGAATCTCCTCAAAAACCAGCTCCAAGGTACCGTTTTATATATTTTTAAAATTCAATACATTTTTTTCTCACTCTGGACCCGGTTAGCTCGGAGTATTTGTTGAAGCTATGACGAAAAAGACTTGGGTCTCTATTTCAAAACTAACACTTGGCCCATTTCTAGCGCTGAGGGTTAGAAATGGGCCAAATCTTTGTTATCTTTTCCAAGAGTATATATCTTTAAATCCAAGACGAGTAGAACAAAATTACACCATATATTTATAAAAAAATGGCTTAACTATATATTGAAACAGTAAATGTCAATTTTAAACTAATAATTAGGTGGGAGAATTAGTTCTTGATGATTCTTGATCTCATTTTCGAATGTATCCCTATTTTGAAAAAATTACTGGATTTCAGTTCATATTGCGTTTTCGGAACACATCCCGGTTTTGAGACAATTACCGGATTTCAGCTCTAGTCGCGTTTTCGGAACATATCCTGGTTTTGAGACAATTACTGGAATTCATATCAAAGTCAATTTTCAAGTATTTACGTAATTATGAAACAAAACAAGATCTTTTGATAAGGTAAAATATAGACAAAATATAAACAAAAAAAACTGTTCTTTTATAATTTAAAAATCAATAAAGCTTTCCAGTCGTAATTACGTGTAACACATTCTTTCACTTATGGAGGAGCATTACGCGAAATTACGTGCTAATTACGTATACGAAAGAAAGTCTAGTTTCACGTAATGAAGGTGTAATTACGCAAAATTACGTAATACGAAACCATTCCGTAATTAGTAAAGTACATATTAATTCTCATAACTGAATATAGAGCAAAAATTTGTGTAAGGATATGTGCGATAAACCATTTTCAATCTGATTGGATAATTTAATTACTTTCAAATTGAATTAAAATTCGTTTATGGTGATGGAAAGAAAAAAGTAGATGTTAGTTCTACATTTTATTGAAACTTTAAAAGGTCCCAAACCTACTCTGTGCTCTAACTTTTAGATGGTAGAGTTCATGTCCAGGAAGGTTAAAATATAAACAAAATATATACCTCTAGGCTGGTTTCGCTAATTAGGCGTAATTATTGCAACAATTCGCAAAATCGAAGTTTAGCTAATTTCGCGAAATAATGTTGTAGAAATTACGGGAAATTACGCCGTAATTTTGCAAAATTGAAGTTTATCCAATTACGCAAAATCCTGTGAAATTACACGAAATGAAAATGATTTCGCGTAACTGCGCGTAAGTGAATAATCTATTACGTTGGAAACCCAAAGCATTTAGAAATCAAATATTGATATCATTTGTACTTACAATATAGATTAACCTAGAAATGCGGAAAACTGTTTGTTTAAAATGCTTGAAAATAAATCATCGATAGTCTCTAATTTAACAGATAAAATGTGGAAACTTAGATTCTAGAAATAAGTCAGACGTTAATTTAGTCTTCATAAGAGTATGTTTGTTTTTAGTGATTTATTTTGTAAGTTATAAAAGTGAGTTTTGTTTTGAAATGCAGATTATACTTAAAAACAGGGAAGTGGGTTTTGTCTCGAAAACGCAACAATGTTTCAGGATATGTTCGAAAATGTAAAACTTAACATTGTCTTTAAAACGGTAATGAGCTTTAATATAAAAAGAACTCCTTTTATAATTTTGATTTTAAAAAAGTTTAAAATTGGGAATTGTTGTCCTCGTCATGTTTAATATAATGTTGGTTATAGTTTTTTTATCGACTTTTACGCTGGATATGGGCCGGGATGCCAAAAAGCCCATCTTTCAATTTGTGCCCATTTCTAACACTCAGTGTTAGAAAATGGGCCAAGTGTTAGTTTTGGAACTGATGTCCTCTGTATTACAGATAGATACTGTAGAAATCTTTTAGAGGGACTGTAAATGTCATTTAGGCGACTTTCCATGCAAAGATACCAATGCCCAATTTGCAATGGTTCCCTTTAGACCTTACTGATCGAAAGTGGATGAAATGATTGAGTTGTCTGGTGTGTCGTTATTGACTCAAAAATTGCCAATTTTTGTGAATTTCTTCATTGTTATAAGAAAGATATGCCGCGAGTCACTTTTCTGAAAATAAACAAAAATTTAAAGCTACATAATCTTGCTTATTTAATTCATACTTGATCAGACAAAGCTTTTAAGGGTAATGTTATAAATCGGGCATTACCATCTTTACATGGAGGGTCACTAGAAATTAAGGTTTACAGACTCTAAGCTCCCCCCATTATTTCTTACACAAATCCTTATTTTCGGTGGGGGGGAGGGTTGTGTGCTTGATATCCTTGAAAGGGGAAGAAGGCTGAAAGACTGTAATTTGATAAGAAGATCTGATGGTATTAGCAAAATATCTGGTTCTTGTACAGGAAATAGATTTATATTAGATCCATCCTTCCTTTCCCATCATTCTCTTTACCAAAGCACCATCTGGTTAAAACAGTCGGAACTAAACTTATAAATATTGATTAATCATATGCAGTATTTTGTTCAGGGGGAGATAATCTTTTTGGATTTTTTGACATTCCAGAAAGGGGGGGGGCTGATTCCCCCTGGAAATCACAGTTTACACTTTTCCAGGGGGAAGCTGAGCACCCTTTGCATACAAAAATAATATTCTTCTCAATTATATTTTCTTTAATCCAACCTTTACTGGTATAGAGGGTTAGTTCTGTCCAGTGCTTTAATTGATTATTAGTTTGTTAGGCTGAACAGGTTTGGCTAAAATAGGATCAAATTATTATCTTATTCCTAGATTATAAGAAAAACAGAAAATTATCTGTTTTATTTAAGATATTATTACCTTGTCGAGCACATGATACTGAAAATGATTCATGGGATTGTATATGATTAGAAGTTTTTCCTCTGTTCTTTTTCTTTAATTTATAAATCAGTTGGGAACCAAAAAATTTGATTATTCTTTAATGTCGTTTTCTTGATGGAAGTCAAAATTTGAATTTGAATTCTAAATATTAAAAAGTCAAATAAAAAGAACAATTAATAATCAAAAAAATAATTTTTATCTTTCAGCGAGAAAACTAAAACTTCCAAGACCGCCAAGGGAAAGAAGATGGGAAACGAAGGCCCACTTATAGACTTTGGAGACGAGAAGGAAAAGGACGATTGGGAGGATAACTGGGAGGACGATGCATGGCAAAGTTTGAGTAAAGACGATTAATTTGATGCAGAAGTTTCAAAAATATTGCCCTAATTACCTACCTAAGCAAGCTGAAAGGCCTAATTGTTTCACAACAAGTGCTTTTCTAGACAGGAAAAATACACTTGCTCATTGGCCATATAACGATTTTAAATACAACCTCCTCAAGTTTTATCTGAAATATACAATGCTTTGTCTTCTTACTTTTACATAAAAATTCCATCCAGTGCTTGTTGGATATTTGGTTTTATCTCTCTCCAATTGAATTCTAAGAATACTGGAGATTTATTGTTACAAGTCTCATTTCTATTCCATTCGTATTTCGAATCCTTCATTACTTTTTACTATTGAGATATTAAATAATCAATACTGAACAAAACAGACTTTAGTTCGTGTAAAATTGTTATAATAAGGTCAATTCATTCCCCAACATCTTGGTTAAGGCATTTTTAGTTTATGTGATCCTTTGTCTTTAATTTTTTGTCATATTTGACTTAACATTTTTAAATTTACGTAAAATGTAGCATTTAATCTTTATTTTGAATAAAAATATGTAATAGATTATATTTAAATTATAATTAAATTATTGTATGAAAAAGAAAATTGCCAAAAAGAGAGCTGCAGCTCTGGAAAATATGCTTAATATTAGGGAGAAGCAATAGCAGAAATATGTGTCAAAATGCATATCTCCTTTGTCTTGAAGGAATTTAGAATGCGTAGAACCAAAAAAGAGGAACAGTGGAACAGAAAACAGAAGTATAATCAGATAAAAAAATTCATTGCTTTTTTTAAATTTTGATAAAAAAATGTTTCATTTAAAAATAAATTGTTAAAAAATTCTTTATTAATAAAATTAATAGAAATTTTAGCGTGAGATTTCAACCATTTTTGGCTGTAGATGACAATTTCCTCTTTTATTTCTGCTGTTCACTTTAAAAATTGCATAAATCAATTAATAGATTTGTCTTTTCATCCTTCGTTTCTAAACAATTTTCTTTAAAATTTATAATCCAAGAAAGATGTGAAAATGCTTCAGGAAGAAATACTAACTCAAGCTTTCACAGAATGGGCTATAGTTGTACTTGTACTAGCACGACATGCTACATTCCCACAACAGGTTATTCACTGCCATCTAACAGCTTCTTCAATATAATACCCATTCAGAGGAGTAAGTCTATTTGAAGGTTTTGTATTTTGTATTCAAAGGATCTTTAATTATCAAATTAAATTTCAAAAACTCAAACATTAGGTATGTTTATTATTTCTAGTATGTTTGTTTATCTTCTAAATCCTCCCAATTTTGACACTACAGATAGTTTCAGAAATTATTTTCTAATGTCGAAATTTAACAGTTTTTACAAAATTTACAATCTCCAGCTTCAAGAAGCACCAAGTCTGAGAAGAGATAAAACCAACCAACCTAAATCTATCTTAATCTTGTGTCTTCACTTGGGAGTAAATTGGCCACTAAAGTGGGGGTTTCACTTGGGTTTAAGCTTTTAAAATCTGAGCTCTGGGTAGCATGAGATCTAGTCAAAGAACAGCTAGCATAGAATGATCATTGACTCGTACTGGTGTCTGATAAGTCGGAACTTGTCGTTTGAAGATGCTCAATGCTGAAATGTTAATGTGAAAATGCCAATGGGCTTAAAGAAAGAAAATATTTGTTTTCCATAATTATAGCCACGCTCCCTCCTCAGAACCACTGGACCCACTGTGGTGAGTTTTTGTGCAGACAATAATGTGCACAACATATACAATGACCCCAACTTATACAGATAGATTACTCAGAAATATACACCTATGCAGTTCCAGCACGACAGACTGTGATCCTCTATGCTACCTGGTATGTGGATCTAGTAGCCTCAGATCTAGCAAGAAGCATCTGAACACAGGAGGTAACTTCTTGCCAAGAAATATAAGTCACAGCAAAAGACTTGAAACACATTAATTTGCACCTCAAAGACTGAAGTATAATGGGCATACCCAAAAACGAAAACTGAAGACTAAAATATAATAATTTGAAATTTGATTTTAACTGTAAGTGAAGGGCTCCAGAAAATATAATAAATTACACTGAATTTTATTGATAACTCATTTCAACTTATTGATTTCAAAGCTTAAATAAAACATTTTTTAAGTTCTAACATTTATTAATTTAGTTTGGCATATACAAAAGTGTTCATATTTTAAAAATCAATTTTGAATAGAATGAGGATCAGAGAAGGGTCCATGTCTTCCATGTGTATCTGAGGCTCTCACAGCGAAGTGGTAGCGGTTCCCTGGGGCAAACTGTTTCAGTGTACAAGCCATAGGCAGGGGTAGAGCCTTCACATTTCCAACCTTCTTCCACAGACTTTGGTCAGGTCTCTGTCCCAAGATCTCCTAAACACAAAGCTTTTGTACAACATTATTTATAACTGCTACACACTACACCAATAAGAGGCATGAATTATATGAAGAATCGAGAGTATATTGGATCTTATAGCAGACTGGAAATTCATCTATGACATATTAATTAGTAGTGGAATTTGCTTAGTTTTAGATTAAAACTTAAAGAACAATCTGGGTGTCCGGTGTATATTTTTATTTTGCTCCCCCCCCCCCCTTTCAAAAAAGGAAAAAGGGGGAAAGAGAATGGGAAACAGGGGAAATATGGAAAAAGAGGAGGAATTTGATATTTATTAGCTAGTTTGGGCTCACACAAGAACCAATATGCAAAAAATTGGATATCTTTGGACAAAGATACTTGGCACTAAGGACAGGGTAGAAGAAAGGATTGAAAATCTTTGCTATGCAGGAAACTTTGGGAAAAAATAATTGGGAATTAAAATAAATCAGAAAATCTACCTGAATGTGAAAAAGAGGTTTAAACAATAGACATTAAATGTCTTAAATACAGAGAAAGTGGCGGAAAAGAATATGAAAAATGATTTGGACACATTAAAAAAAAGGTGGGAGGAGTCAACAATCAGAGAAAACATTGGCAAAATAATCGTAAAATAAGAGGATTTCAACTTCAAGAATCTAAAGAAAATGTTATTGAAGTGAATCTTACTTAAGCAATTTTCAAGATCTTAATACAGAATATAAGTCAACAACACAGTGTATCCAGAATGCCGATTTTTGGTAAAAATTAATAATATTTTAAGGAAGATTGCTACCTATGCAAATTTTAAAGTGCCAATTCCAAATTTTTTATTCTAACTAGATCAAACTGCTTTCTGACCAGTGTGCTAGCCTGTTTTCAATTTCATGATTTTCATAATTTGGCAAAAGATTTTTTATGAGAATCAGTATCTAACCCATTTTTAAGTGGCAATTTCATTTATTTAAGCTGGACCTTAATGCGCTATGCCTGACACACTAGCCTGTTTTAATTTCTTCATGTTTAAAAGGGGGGGGGGGTACAGTATGTTTTTTTAAGGAAATGTAACAAAGTGAAGGCATTAAAAGCTACCAAGAAATTTGCAGAAATCCATGCAAGTTGGATCAGTTTATTTTTAGATCTGCACATTTTGATGTCTGCAAAGAATTTTGACACTTTTTTTTAAGTGATTTTGTTCATCAAATGTACAGCAGAGTTACGTTTTTAAAAAAGATGATAAAATGCTGACATAAAATACTCTAAAACTTGCATTTTAGGGCAAATATACAAATGTACAGATATGAACTACATATTTAACAGCGAGATCCATAAGACTGATACTTCATGCTTTTACTTTGTTATATTTACTAAAAAGCATACTGTGCAATTTGACACCTTGAAAAACCAAACTTTGAGCAGGCTGTATTTGGTCCTAAAATAGTAGGCTGAAATTTAGCATGCACCCTCCAATTGTAGTCGTCTACAAAGATCGAAAATTCATGAGATTTATTTGACCTCCATAATCACAGGTTTCATCCCTAGGACCTTTCTCTGTGTTTGTATGTTCTCTCTGTATTCATATGTTATAACACTATAGAAGTTTTAGACCTCCAAATAAAAATAACCTTCTGAGGTCAAAATGTAAAATCAATAAAAATGGGTTATGTTAAGGTATAAAATTCAATGGTTGTTGGTGTTTTCACCGTCTATTAATGAGGAGGGGGGGAGTGCAGAAGTCCTCAATCAGTAATCACAGCCACCCAAACGTGTTTTGCGGCATGCGCACTCCTCAATTGGTAATCTCCACCACCTCAATTGGTAATTACTGTAAAATCTTTTCTGAGATTTTAATCTAATTAATTTTTAACACAATTTTTGACATCTATCAGAGTTTCATTGCATCTGAAACAAGGCATAGTTCATTTTAGCCGAATCTTAGATCCAATTTGCTGATTTAATGACTGCATTTCATGATTTGAGTTAAGATATTAAAAGGTCGGGCTGCCTGTTTACTACAAAGTATTTCATCACACCCAAAGTAATATCTATCTCCATTTAAAAGATATTTTCAAAAAACCTTTAGTGTTTAGATTTTTATATTTACCTACTTGAGTTCAACATATACAACAAAACTAATTAAATGCATAGAAAGAACATAAAATTTTGAAAAATCAGTCTCATCCCATTCCACTAGTGAAAATGAAGTATTAAGTCCACTAATAATGGGTCAAAGTTTCATCTCAAAATTTTTAACATTTCTGGCTGAGACGGGTCGGATCTCAAGCCAGGCTGGGTCTGTTCTACACCAAGTCAGACCAGAAAGGACAGGAACACACAGAGGCGCAACTAGGACTTTTGCTAGGGGGGGTCACCCTTCTCTCCCTAATTTTTGGGTTGAGTGACCCCTCCCCCAATTCATCCTATAGCTTAGGATCACAAGAAGGGGGGGATTAGAAATATTGGGCGTATTATCAATGAAAATATAAAGAGCAATGCAGTTTGTGTTATTCTGCTTATTGAGGAAGCCATCATATTTGCTTTACTGTTATGTCCCCCGCATGTTCAAAGCGGTCAGTATCGACCGTTCAAAAAAGCTGCCAAAATTATACTAAAACAATAATTTCATCAAATAAAATGTAAATTACATTAAAGTAATTACTTTATTTTTGATAGAAAATCACAAAAATGTTAACTTCAAAAAAAAAGTGAAGGGGGTTTCACATTTTAGTTTAATTTTTGCATATTCTCTCAGAATCTATCAAGATCTAAACTGAAAAAAAAACAAGCAATAATATGCTTGAACTAGGTTTTTTGATTCACAAGTTACACAAAACTTCAAAAAATTAAAAAAAATAATTTTTGAAATGATGAGGGATCAAAGGGTTACTAAAGTGAGCAGTTGATATTGACGTTAAGGCCTCTTTTTGACCTTAGCTAATTCTGAAGGTCTTAAGCATCTAAATATCAATTACCTCCCAAGGTCAAAATTTAAAGTCAATGAAAATGGGTTATGTAGGTAATAAATCATGAGTTTTTGGTGTTCCAATTCCATTCTGTGGCCACCTTTTGACCTCAGATGGTCCTGAAGGTCTTTTACTTCCTAGTTCTGAGACCCTTTATGACCTCAGATACTCTTATAGGTTGTAGATATCTAGACCTCAAAAGGTGATAATGTAAAATCAATGAAAATGGGTCATTTTTGGAATCATAGGTTTTTCGGTGTTCTGGTTCTGTTGTTGTTGTTAAGGTAATGGTAGGCTACTAGAGGGTAAATCAGAGTCAGCAAAAGATTTTTTAACCCAAGAAATGGAATCCTCATGCGCAATTACCTTTAAATTGATATACAGCATGTAAAGCTTATAGTAAGATGACCCAAAATGTGACATCTGGCTACTAGCGCACCTGTCAGAATGCTCCAAGGTCAATTTTGACCTTGGAAATTAATACCTTGTCCCATTTAATATACCGCAAGGTACTTTTGTTCTGAATTAGGCCCAACTTGAATTAAAATACATTTATTTATATTTTTTTAATTGCGCGTGAGGGAACTTGAGGCTCTAGGGCGCAAACTTTTCAGGAATTTCTTGTTCGCATGCAAAAAATCAGCGTCCAAGGACAATGCTAAACTTAATTTAAAAAATATTAATTGCAATTGTCTTATTTGCCCGAGCAGGGGTTTCTTGTGTAATAGTGCACATTGATCTGATCTTTTTGAAATTGCATTTTGCAGTTACGATAAATATTAGTGAGTTAACATGCAAAAAATTAGCATTCTAGGACACTGCTACACTTGAATTAAAAAATATATAATTTTATTTGTCTTAATTGCGCGCGCACACAGGGACTTTAGGCTCTAGGGCGCGAAATGTTCAGGGATTTCTTGTGTAATTTTGTCCTGATGCAATTTCAAGTTCATTTAACGGTGGTCTTAAAAAGCTGAATTTAAAAAAGTTGATTTCGAATGGATTTGTTAATTATTAAACCAATAAAAGACAATAAAAAAGGTAGTTACTTTGAGAATTTGGCAGAGTCCCATAAAAGCTAATTTTTCGGCCATAAATCAAACAATTTAATATATATCAAAAAACTTAAATGGCTGAGTGATTGCCACTTTTTTTAATTTGATGAATTTTTTTGCAAAATTCTTAGAAAATTTAGGCGCAGGTGTATTACTAGGCCCCCAAGCCCAAAATTGACCAACCCTAATCTTTTCTAGGAATTATTTTCATCTTTAAACAAGTAACCATAAAGAGGCAAATTAAAACTTCTCTCTAAGGCATAACTTTTTTAGATAAATTAGTGTAACAATGCATTTACAGTTACATTAACAGCTGAATTATAAATAAAAGTAAACTAAGATAAATTTACGAAAAAATCTCTCTTAATAGAATCGGAGCATCCATAATTTTATGATTTAATAATAATAATACATGACCAATTTTCTTGACTTTAGGTTTTAACCTCATGAGAACAATCTCATCTTGAGGTTAACAACCTTAAGTCATTAGAGGTCGTTAGAGGTCAGTAAAACGTCAAACACTGGATTCGTTGCTGCAACTGTATTCCTGGGGTTCCTAGCTTTCGTTTGATATGCATAAAGCCATAGTTCAAACATTTTCATTTTTGGAGGTCATTTAGGTCATTAGGTCATAAATGGAATAGATTCAGAACTCCAAAAAACCTATGACCCATTTTTGTTGATTTTATATTCTTGAGGTTTTTGATATTTAGACATTAAAACCCTTCAGAATTATCTAAGGTCAAAAATAGGCCTCTTGAGATCATTGATGTTGGAAAGTCAAAAGACTGATAGACTGTTAAAACTGATAAAAACTGATTAAACTGTAATTAAGCCAGAGTGGAAAATGTGGTATTGCCTCCTTTTTTATGCATTTACAGAGGTCAAAATGGAGATCAATAATCTCTAATCCCTATTTTTTCATGATCTTTGAAGATGATTACAATTGGAGGCTGCATGGAAAATTTTAACCTACTACCGTAAAAGCACCCAGTACAAAATTTGGTATCACAAATTGTATCCACTCTTCTCAACAGATTTTTTGTTTGTATTTTAATGAAAGTGTCAATTTCTAAATTACTCGTCAAAGATTTTTCCATGACCAGTGCCTGTTTTTAATTTCCCTCTTCTTAAAATTTTTTAAAAAGTTTTTCCATTTTTTGATATTTTCTTAAAGGCATCTAAACATCTAGATGAATTAAGATATGAAAATATAACTATTTACACTCTGACCGGTGCGCTAGCCAATTATTTATTTCCTATTATTATTATTTTGTTCAATATTTTTTTTCAATTACTTCTGTCAAAACCAATATATTAAAATTTAAAGAAATAGTGACTTATAATTTAAGAAAAACAGGTTCTATTTATTGCATTGGTGAATTTTTCCCTCCACTTCGAAGCATACTAGGGTGTAGTTGGCTGAGCAACTTATTTGACAAGTTTTTTGGACAATAGCCTATTTCCATAATCAAGACCAGTGACATAAGTTTCACACAATTTGCATTTTCAACTTTATTTTGAGTAAATTAAAGCTGTGGTAAACTATCCCATGTGAGTTCTAAATCTACATTTAATATTGCTATGTTCAACGAAACAAATACAAATGATTAACATAGTTTAATGAAATTGTTTCGTCTATTGAAAAAAGCAAAAGTTTTTACTTTATTTAAAAGACAAGTATGTGTCGGTAACTTATAACTTTGAATTTTGAAACAGAAAATCCTAATTTTTTCGCGATTTTTGTACAACGCATACAAAGATATTTATTAAATTCATAACATTTCTGAAAGACATTTTTCAAAAAAATATTTAAAACTGACCTCAACTTCCCAAAAAGTTAAAGGTTAGAACGGACTAAAATTTTAAAAATTGTGATTCTCTTAAAGGAACATTAAAGAAAGTTAAAAAAATCTCTGATCTTGAACTAGAACTATTTAAAAGGGGATGGTGGAGTTGGCATGTTTGATGCAGGGGGGGGGGCCTGCCTTCATTTTTGGTTTAAATCTTCCAATTTTTTGG